CAGGACACAAAAAACAAGGGTCCATGTTCACTTAGCTTTGCTTTGGGTGTCGCTATTTCGCTTCTCCCTCTTGCTTCTCCAAGTAGCACATGCAGAAGTTATCTTTACTCAGAAGAGCCAAAGAGTCGCCGCTCGAGTGCCAGCACAGAGACGTCACCTGGAAGTCCCCTGAAAACAGAGAAGCCAAGACGCCTGACTTGTGGAGGAGGAACAGTCTCCTCTATCCAGTGAAGCGGTTCTGCTGAATCAGGACCTTGAAAAACTGGAGCCCTGACTCAAGTGGAGAGCTCCTCTGGACAGTAGCACTCTCCCTTTGCAGACTGGGTCCTCCACAAACAGGAGGCAGGGGGTGGAGGTAAGTCCGCCATATACACTTTCTCACGCTTGACAAAACCTGGGTTCTTCCCATCACTGTCCTGTGGAATATTTTTAAACCAGAAAGGCAAAGGCTGAACATGGGGTTTCCTTCATGGGAAGCAGATTACTCTACTGCTAATGGCAACATTTAATGGTATGTTTCTCAATACTTAACCTAATCAGGCATGTTTGAATGCCAGGGTGTGCGTGTGTGTTTAAAGCTGCCAGCCCATTCCAGCCTCTCCACTAAGATCCACCTTCAAACCTCCACATCGGTACAAAGGTAGCCACCGGGCTTCCGTGTGGGATGGACACCTCCAGGTGAGCAGGAACCTTGCTTCCTACGCCAGCCCGATTGTGGGGATGCTACTACACAGATGCTCTCTTGAGACCCTCGTGGGCATGGAAATGTACATAGATGTCTCCTCCCCACTTTAATGCCCCCCCCCTGCTTCACAACTCGGTCGCAATGGTTCTGAAGCATACATGCGACACCTCATGAACATCCCGGCCTTACTGTGATTCAAATGAGAGGTAGCAGGCAGGGATGTTGGTGAGTCTTCGAGTCGGAGGTCTGAGTGCGAATCTTGGGGATTGAGTCTCAAGCCTGAGTCTTTGCCCCGTGCCTCCTAAGGCTTGGGAGACTCGGACGGTGCATGCGCCAAGCAAGCCAGCCGATAGGCCAGTTGGGTCTTGGATAATGGTGGGAACACATCACTGCCTGCGCACTGAACTAGAAGAGTGGGCGATCCTCAGACCTCAGGAGACAGCAGGGGTAACTGAGTTTCCTTACCTTCCATTGGTACCTGAACAGACACACATCCCGCCGGGGACCAGAGGTAGACTCGGCTGTTTCCAGTACAAACAGCAAGCCGGGACTGTCGAGGATCCCAGTGGAAGAGCTGGACGGGACACAGATGCTCCAGGACAACAAACAGCTTCATCTTTTGGATATCCCAGATCCAGACCGCATTGGGAAGGTTGTCTGCCAGCCAGAAAGGAGGGGGGGGGGGGGAAACCATGTTTGAGGTACAACATACGGTCCAGACAACTCCCTGGCCTATGACTCTGCTAACCAAACCCCCTTAGTACAAAGGACTGCAGATCCACTACCTAGGTAGCTTTAAGAAGGTCCACAGAGAGACAACTGCAGCTGGAGATTTAAGCTCATCTGGAAAGAGGTAAAACTTGGCCGCGTTCTTCCTGCTGAAGAACCAAGCATGTTTGAGGTACAACATACGGTCCAGACAACTCCCTGGCCTATGACTCTGCTAACCAAACCCCCTTAGTACAAAGGACTGCAGATCCACTACCTAGGTAGCTTTAAGAAGGTCCACAGAGAGACAACTGCAGCTGGAGATTTAAGCTCATCTGGAAAGAGGTAAAACTTGGCCGCGTTCTTCCTGCTGAAGAACCAAGTATGTCCTTTCAAGCTCCTTGGTTCTGTGTTTCGATGACATGATGACAACCACGCGCATGTTGCGAACATCCTGATTTTTTTTTTTTTGCAAGCTTTCTTGGTTTGGTTCCTAACACTTTGTTTTAAGAACAGTATAAAGATGGCATTTCTTTTATACTTGATATTTGATTACTCCCAGACATCAGAGGCAAGGGGTTCATAAATATTTCTGAAAAACCGCTTTGTTCCCAAGCCTTTTGGCCAACTCATCAGTTCTAGAGCCTCCCTAACCAGAGGTGCAGGATGAGGGCTACAGGGGTCAAAGAGCTCCGAAGGGTTGGCACATGACAGAGCCTAGAAAAGTTTGCTGGTGGATTCAGAGCGACCACCATTCAGAGCAAACCCTTTTGTAAGTTCAGCCTGCAGGTGGCGGTCCTGTTGAGCCCACATCCAAGGCACTATACGGACTCAAAATCACTGAGAGAGAGAGAGAGAGAGAGAGAGAGAGAGAGAGAGAGAGATTTTCTATCGATCTCCAGGATACAAACCATTTCTGGTTGCTAAGAAACAGTTATCTGAGCTGAAAGCCAACATTCCGACTCCGATTTTAGGATTCGCCCGATCAACTGCAGGTTTTACGGAAAGCAAAGAAACGGGGGTCTGGACAATTTCATCTGGAAATGAACCAGAAAGGGAAAGAGAGAATAATGTTAATTAAGCAATTTTTCCCCTTAAGCTTTAAAAATGGCCTAGATTGCCCAGGAATACAACAGTTTTACACCATGATAGATGGACTGGATGCTTGATCCAAGGTTCTTTTGAAAGGTTGAGTCTCATAACTGCAGCAGCTATTTACAAGCATTCCTACGGCCCAGTTCATCCTTAATCATTCTGGAATCAAACTGTATCTTTATTTCCAGCTAGGGTTTTGATTTGAACTCAAGAGTAGAGAGGGATCTTCAAAATTTATAGTGGGGAAAAGTCACAGCTACCCCTTTGAATTCTTATTTAAATTCTTTCTGTTGAAGAGCATCCAAAAGTTTGCAAAACCTTGGGTCAAACGTTTGCAACATACAGCAGATCACAGAAAAAGTATTAGGGGACAAAGGGCTTAAGAGACCCAGAAAATCAACTCATCTCAGAAGTTTCAGGGCATAATTTCAGCACATCCCGCTCACTATAATGACACGCTGCTCTGTAACTTTCAAGGAAAAGTTTTCCACTCTGTAATGGAATCCTGCCCATCTTATGCTTTGAAAATTGGTTTATAAACATGCAAACATGCACCCAAGGCTTTAGCTTACATTTACTCTTTGTGCTGAATAAGGAGCTTGCCATTTTCTTGGTAGGAGGGAAGGCAAGCTTCTCCACCTCCACAGCAGGGGACTTCTCCACTTCCTTATAAACAACCTAGAAAGAAGGGTCAAGTCACACTTTTAGCATATTTCAACAGACAGGTGATGAGCTGATCCGTTCTTGAGCTAGAAAGGCTGCAGAACCAGAAGAAGAAAAAAGGGGGCTGGATATCGCTCAGTGGCTTAAGTCTCTGGCTGTGGAGCCAGAGGTTGGGAGATCGATCTCCCCACTGGGCCTCCTGGGAGAAAAGCCAGCCTGGGTGGCCTTGGGCAAGCTGCAGCGTCGTCCCAGGGCACCTCCAGAAGAAGAGAAAAGTCAGTCACTTGTAAGTATTCTCTACGTGGAAAACTGGAAAGTCAGAATTGAGCTGATGGCTTGTAATGATGATGATGATGAAGCAGCAGCAAGGTTGGTATTCAAGAATAACAGAAGCTTTGTGTAAGACTGCAAAGCCTCTGGATTCATCCAGATCATACAAAAAATTATACTTCTTCTTAATGACTGACTGCTAGACAGTTTTTTTCAGTCCTAGCAGCGACAGCCAAGGAGAAAGCACCTTCCTTTGAGCATCCACACAAGCACAAACGGAGGGACAGCATGTACGTGTGTGTCAGGATGTCTGAAATCCGTGGAGTCTCCAAAGCTTGGAAGGCTACAGATTTCTTGGACTACATCCACCCAACCGAATTCACCAGCTATGCTGCCAGAGGATTCTGGATGCTGTAGTCAAAAATGTAACTTTAAAAGCTCTTGTCTCCAGTTTTGCTTTGCTCCCACCCACTGTTCACGGCGGTCCCAACCTCTGTTGGCATTGCAGCCCTCAGAGAGGCAGCGAGGTTGGACTGTGGTCCTCGTGGTGGGAAAAGTTCCCAACCTATAAAGGTGGATGCTGACATAGAGAGAGGGGGCAAGAAAGAAAGGCGCACGAATCGCAGAAGAGTCACTCCTGACCTGAGACTTGCACACAATCTCTCAATCAGATAGAGTTTGCTTACATTTTCATCAAAACTACCAAGTGCATCAGCACCCATCAATAACAAGGCTGGTTTAAGTGATGTAACGAAAACACTGAAGAAGAAGCCCCCAGTTCAACACTGAGGGTACTAGTTCCCCTTGATTCAGCACTGGTTAGGCCTCCTCTAAATTACGGTGTCCAGTTCTGGACATTACACTTTAAGGACTGCCAACACACTGGAGCAAGTTCAGAGGAGGGTGACAAGATGGATCAGGGGACTGGAAACCAAGCCCTAGGAGGAAAGATGGAAAGAACTGGGCAGGAGTGGGGGTGGGGAGACTGAGGGGAGATCTGATAGCACTTTTCAAAGACTTGAAAAGCACTGATACAAAGGAAGGGAAGGGTCTGTTCTCAGAGTGCAGGATGGGGTCGAATGATAGGAAGTCTGATTTAGGCTGAATATCAGGAAAAACTTTCTGTTAGAGCAGTACAACAACAGAACCAATTATCTCGGAAGGTAGTGAGCTGTTCCAGCCTTGAAGCCCTCCAAAAGAAAATTGGACTGCCCTCTCTCAGATCTGCTTTGACTTGGATTCCTGCAATGAGCAGGAGGCTGGACCTGACGGCCTTTCGGGCCCCTTCCGCCTCCCTGATTCTACAATTCTAGGCCCACTTGGTGAGACACCATCCAACAACCCACTCAGCTTCAACACATTCTTCCCCAGCAGCATACTAAATTCTCTCATGCATCTGTTCTAAGGGTTACAAAGACTACATTGAGCTTCCACCTTTCATTCTCTCCCTGTATCAGGCTTCCCTTTTTCTCTACTTACTATCTTTGGGCTAACAAGGTTCACAGGATGCTCAAACTCTGCTATTTTCTTCCAGGTCACATGATTCAGAATTCGCACCTGATTTAAAAACAAAAAACACACAGAATAAGGAAAGGGTAATACATGGCCCTCCTGTAACACCAACTTTTTTTAGCAGAGCTTAACAGGTTTACCTTTTCATCGTAGCTGCTGACCGCCAGGAACTGACTGCTAGGGCTCCAGGCTATAGATTTAATGCCCAGTGACCACTCATAAGCACAGTAGGTGAACAGCAGACGGCCATCGAGTGAGTACAGCAAAACTTTATACTGAAATAGAGGTTTACATCGTAGATGTGAGCAATAGCTGATTTTTACACCACCCCGTCTTAAGAGCTTGGAGCACGTTCCCCCTACAGACGTGCAAATGGCTGATCCACGTCCAAAACGCAAAATGAGAAGATGATATGTATTAAAAAGGAATTTTCTCTGTATAATAATGTTTTACACCTGTTTTGAGATAATCAGATTTAAATCTTCCAAGTTCAGCAATAAAGAGCTTGTAGTTATGTGGCTCACAAGCCCTGCTCCCTCACGCACACTTTGGCAACCTCTAGATGTTTCTCCTGGGCTGCCAAGACACCAAAATCCTTATGTTAAAAAAAAAAAAACCTGGGAAGAAAAATCAGTAGGAAAAATGATTTGCCTCTCATGGGGCAGTATATAAGCAGCAGGCTTTGCTCTCTCATGGGGCAGTATATAAGCTGCAGGCTTTGCTTTTGCTCTCGCTCTCTCTCTCTCTTGTTTGTTATCAAAAAGATGTGCAAAGAGGATCTTTAAGGGCCGCCAGGATAATCAATGTCTGTGTATTTACATGCAAATATAAGCCCAGTTTACAGACCACTTTCATGAAAAGTAGTTAACAAGTTTGTGAAACATCTCTTACAGAATTATTTATATACATTCTCTCCCACACTTTCCCTCACCTCAAGGCAGCTGTCCCACACCGCCAACACACAGCCATTTGGGGCCCACTCAATCCCAGCCACGTCCTGAGTTTCAGTCTCAAAATGCTGCCAAAACAGAGACAAGAAAATAATGTAGTTTTATTTATCGAAACATAAAGCAGGGTTTCAAAGCAAACAAAGGTTGGCATTAACCATGGTTAACTTTCTTGCACCACAATCCAAAATTTTATTCCCTCCAGAGTCCATGTTTTGTTACAAAACCCACCTAGTCAAAGAACGACAGTGTAAGTGCGGTCAACTGAAAAGTTGTGGGGGAACTATCCCAAACTTTAGCTACTAACAATGCACATAGTCTTATCAATGCAGAAAAGGCATTAATTCTGCACACAGACACTTGGACAACATCCCATGATATAATGGAAATTGTCCTCAAGCTCAGGAAACATTAGGCAAATCAAACTTTGTGTGTGTATACACATGCGCGTTAACTCTCTTTTAAGTAGAATTTAAAGGTCAGTGTCAGTTAAGCTCTCTCTGTGTCTGTATGTGTGTTAACCCTCTTTAAAGTATAGCTTAAAGGTCAGTGTTAGCTCCTATCTTAATTGGTAAGGAACCTGCAAACTTAAAGAATCAACAGCCAGAAAAGGGCAGAACCACATCGGTTGCACAAACACTTCTTGAACACAGAAGGTACATTCCCTTCATGGAGCTCATTGCTTGCCCAAGGGGTGTGATCCTGCACTCCCGTGCTCCAATCTGCAGAGGCTCAACAGGATAATACCAGCCCGGGACCTTATCCTCATCATGTGAAGCTAAACGGAGCCATGGAAGCCCACCGGGGAGGATGAACGATGGGGTTTTTACCCTTAGAAGCTGCCAGTCGCTGCACACAAAGAGGCTGATGTAGTCTCTGCAGTCTCTCCTCTCAGCCAGGGCCATGTAGCGGCCATCCTTGGTGAATGCGATGCCTGCCAAGAAAAGCAGTGCTTAAAGGAGGGGGGGAACAAAGAAGGGTCTAATGCCCCATTCATGGAACCAGGAAGCCATGGAAAAACTAAAACCAGCAAGACAAACAAAGCCTGGAAAGAAGGGACATGGTCTTCTGGGTGCCGCTCAAGGCATATTTAGGGCTGTTCAGCTCCTGTCCTGTCTCAAAAGAGAGAGAGGTCTTGCGTAAGGCACCCGACGAGCCCTGGGATCAGCCTTCCACGAGGCACTCGAGGGCTGCCACTCGAACTTCAGCGCTGCTGAGTTCAAGCGATGGAATGCCCAGGAGTGTGTGAAAGGAAAACAGAACCATGACCCGGGAGGCCAGATTCCCAGCCATCGCCCCTCTTATGCGAGTAAGTGAGAGAAAGGCAGCTTTCTGAAAGGCCACACAAAACAATAATCATAATAAAAGTGTCAGATTCGAGAATGACCTTTGCAATGGAGAAGCCGCCTTCACAGCAGAGATTAAGTTTCCTTTTGTACAGTAGGACTAGAGTTCCAAGCCCCACCAGATACCAATAAAATGTGGAAGTATCACACACTATACACTGAATTGTCTCTGGCTCCCTCTAGTGGCCCATTCCAGTAAATACATTCTAGAAATATGTACAGTATACAGTACTGTATAACTATGTTATTTTGGGGTGGGGTGGGTATTTAATATTCTCAGGCAGTGGATAAGTGAATCAATGGATAGTGATCCCACAGATTTGGGGGTGTGTGTTCCTACTGTACACTAGAAGTGAGATCACTTCCCTATGACTTTGGGTTTGTGGCAGAAGCAGTGAGTGATGCCGTACATTTACATTTACTGGCATCATTGCCCAGGACTTTATATGTATTACGAGTCATGCAGAATCACTGAGAAACGTGATACTTCAAATATTATTTCAAAAACCCTGCTAGCCTCAAATGGATCTGGTTCATGGTGATTCTCTCTGTATTTTCATTTTTCGGCTGCCCGTCAGACAAACCTTTCTTTGCTGGTGGGCCGTCTAGAAGCAACCAGCTAGTCCCTGCGAGAACAGAACACTGGGCTAGAGAAGGTTAGCTTCAAGACTCTTCTCGCATGATTAGGAGCCTACATCGGAAAGTATAGGACCCACTCAAGTCGAGAGGAGGATGGCATTCATGTCTTTCAAACAGATATGCCCTGGTACTGCAGGTCTCCTTTATGCCTCAGCTGGAAGGGAATATGAGTTGCATCCAGACCACTACAGTGTTAACTATAATTAAAAATATAGTGTTGGTGGCGATGGCAGACCCTAAACGTCCTTTATTAGCTTAGCTCCACTTACCCTGCTGACAGGCCTTGGGATATTTGATATAAGACACAGATTTCGTACACAAGGACCAGACCGTTATCCGCAGCTGTTGGAAAAAAAGAAAAGAAAGAGAGGAAGCTTTAAAAAAATATTTGTGGATGAGAGGCATACGGGAGATGATTCTTTGGGAGGGGGCGGAAACCCACGCTGAGCTCCATCTCAAGTTTTTTTTTTTACAACAGCCTGGTTCCTACAAAACAGACAGAGAACAGAAGGTATGTCCAAATGAGAGAGAAGAAGGCCGAGACAGGCTGTTTGGCTTTAAATAAGCAAACTTGTCCCCTGGCTGTGAAGAGGGAAATCCTCAAATGCCTGTGCAAACTTCATTGATTTAAACAGTCCTTTAAATTTTCAGTGTTTGTCTGAATTTGTTTTTTTTAAAAGAAAAATACAATTCTTCTCATCCCCTAGGAGATTCTACTAGCATGAATATTTCACTTTTCCTACATATATCCTCTTCTTCTTGTATTTATACAAACAACTTCATATTCATGTATTCTAAGGGCTTCTGGGATGGTTTCCATAGATGAGCCAGATTAAGAACAAATACCCTTCCCATAACAAAACTAGGTTTCCTTGACCTGCTGTAACAAACACATCTTGTGATGCTTTCTGGAATTTTTTGAAAAAAAAAGACATTAACAACGCTAATTGTTCCAGATTTTGCAATTTCATTCAAACACAGCGCACCACCAATCTCCAAACTTTATTTAGTGCTTACCTTTCTAACCTGCCTTCCCTCTAATGAACTCAAAGCTCTTTAAAGCGCTTCTCTGCCACCAAACCATGCCTTCGTGAGAACCTTGTGAGGTTGTGTTGGAGTTATAGTTCTCTTTCAGCAGGGGGGTCTACAAAACATCACTGTTGTGTCATACTATGCATGGAAATATTGGAGCCGGGAGGAAATCGCAGAATCATAGAAATGTGGGGCTGGAAACTTCACTAAGGGGTCCCCCACATCCTGCTGACACAGGAAATCAAGAATTTACGCTCTTTAAAGGGCACCCTGACAAATTACCAAAGAAAGAAAAGAAAGTGATGAGATGCTCAATTTTTGTTTTTGATTTCGGAGGGCTTGTGAGGACCCTGATGGGTATCTGTGAACTCAAGAGAGCAGAGGAACATAAAGTCATGGAAGGGGCCTCCAAGGCTAGTGAATCCAATCCTCTGCTCAATGCAGGAATCCTACTCAAACCAGACTTGGCCCATGGTTGTCCAATTTTCTCTTGAAGGCCTTCAGCCTTGAAGCACTCACTACTTCCCAAAATCGTTGGTTCCATCGTTGTACTGATCTAACAGTTAAGAAATCCCTCCTGATATTCAGCCTAAATCTGGCTTCCTTTAACTTGAGCCCATTCTTACGTGTCCTGCACTCTGGGATGACCGAGAACAGATCCTGCCCCTCCCTCTGTAGGACAGCCAAGAGTTATCCTCTCTCCCCTCGGTCTTCTCTTCTCAAGGCTTAAACAGGCCCACTCCAGAGGACAGCCTTTCGAGTCTTTGAAAAGAGTTATCCTCTCTCCCCTTGATCTTCTCTTCTCAAGGCTTAAACAGGCCCAATTCTTTCTGTCTTTCCTCCTAGGGATTGTTTTCCAGCCCCCCTGACCATCCTTTTTGCCCTCTTCTGAACTTGCTTCTGTTTGTTGGCAATCCTTCTTAAAGTGTGGTGTCCAGAACTGGACACCGTACTGTAGATGAGGCCTAACCAGTGATGAATAGAAGGGGGCTTAATACCCCACAGAGTTACAGAGGCCTCAGAACTTCCAAAAACAGGCTTGGCATCTCACAAGCTAAATCTTGCCCAACCCCAGTTTACATCCTTTCTACTGGAATCAAAGTACAGCAGACTTTATTCTCTGTGAAGTTCTTTTTTCCCTCCTTTAAAAACCAATCTTCCTGCCACATGAACAAACTTCCAAAACCCACTCCCACCGGCGAGACGTCTGAGGAGCAATACAGCTGTTGTTTTGCAAGTGAGGTGCCGGGAAGGGTGGGAAGCAATGAAAAGCCACAGCAGCATTTTCGGAATAGCCTAAAAACAGCTGACAAATAAGAAGCATTTAGACAGTAATGTGATAAAACAGTCTGAGGAGCTAAGCGAAGGAACTGCACCCAAACGCTGACAACCTCAGGCAGGTGGCAAAAACTGGTGATTTTCATGACACACAACCCCACACTCAAACAAACCTTACAGTCTCAAGTGGCTGTCAACTTTTGTCCCAGACTTGACTAGGTCAGTCAGACTCCTTACATAGCTGCATCTATCAGCACGGGATTTCAGGAGATTAAACGGCCCACATTCCTGGACAGAAAGTATTTTTCAACCAACACAATCATTTACAGTTACTAAGGATTAGAAGCCACAGTACGCCCAAACCACAACGTACATGGCTCCTAGAGCCTAGATCTTTTCACCGGGAGACAGAAAAACCAGTGTTAATACTCTTAAGAGTGTCCAACTGGCCATCTTTTGCCGCTTCGGTCCGGAAACCCAATTCTTAAGGTTCTGTAACGTGTTGTAGGGAAAAATTGAGGATCTGCTTCAGATGAGGATAAACCAGTGACCAACTCTAGAGCATTTCTGTGTCAAAGAAAACACTCTAAAATGCTCATTTTAGAGTCACTACTTAATCATAAGGGGACAGTGGCTGGAGGGGTCTGTTTTGTCAACTCCCAACTCCCAGAATCTCTGCTCTCTGGTCATTCTGCCTACTGCTTGTGTCAGACAAAGTCCAAACACATTTGCAGAAGCAAATACTGAGAACCACTGGATTGCATAAAATAAATATCATCTTAAGCTCCCTTGAAGAAGAGGAACAAGAGATGACACACCAGCAATCCTGAAACTTTTCAGCATTACACATCATATTTTACTTTTGAGATACCCTCATATCCCCCACCTCTCCTTTACCACTGTCCAAGAAAACCTTACAGTCATATGCCCACCTGGAATTTCCTCCAATTCGGGGACCAACCAACACAAACGACTAGCTAACGACACCCATCAATCACAGTGACAGATAATCTTTCCCTTATCACAACAATACACCCACAACAAAAAACACGCTGATCACCACAATCACCCATCTCCTGAAAAGGACAAAAGCTGATCCCACAGCTATAAATACTCAACTACCCAAGCAAACTGTACCAGAGCACAGACAGAGTTCTGACTCCTGTCCTCTGAAGAGGATGGCAACAGAGACTGGCAAAATGTCAGGAAGAAAAACCTTCAGAACACGGCCAAACAACTCAGAAAACCCACAACAACCGTCGGATCCTGGCCGTGAAAACCTTCGAGAATACAGTACATTCTCACACAATTCAAAGCAATGTTTTGACCCCAGTGCCCTAGACTCTGGAAAAGTGGCGTTCTCTGTGGTTGCTCCACAATTCTCACTTCCCTATCCTATTAAAATTTATACAGTGGTGCCTCGCTTAACGGCGACCCCGTTTAACAACGAAATCGCATAGTGATTAACTTTTTGCGATCACATTGCAATGTTTTAAATGGGGAAAAATCGCTTTGCGATGATCGGTACCGTTTCGCTTACCGATCATCGCAAAGCAATGATTTTTTAACAGCTGATTGGCAGTTCCAAAATGGCTGCCGGGTAAACAAAAATGGCCGCCCACTGTTTTCTGGGACGGATTCCTCGCTTACTGAGCAGCTTAAAGGTGAGTCTGAAGCCCATAGGAACGCATTGAAGGGGTTTCAATGCATTCCTATGGGCTTTTTAATATCGCATAGCGACAAAATCGCTTTGCAGCGATTTTTGCTGCACCAATTATCGTCGCTATGCAAGGCACCACTTTACCTAAATGTCTTCCAGAAGGATTCCCAGCCTTCTAGTTTTGACCTGGCTTTAATGACTAGAATTTATGCAGATGCAAGATTTGAATATCATATTAACATACTGAACATCCATTAAAATGATGACTGCGAGGATCAAAGAGGAAGTGAGGATAGAGGGAAAGCTAGAATGTGGTGGCTATACAAGCAGTCCAGCTTTCCTAACCAAGCATAGAGAGATTTGGGTCAAGTTTTCTTCCTTTTAAAAAAAATCATCATGTATACCAGCTGAATAAGTTAAACAGGAAATAGCCAGCACAAAGCATCAGAAGTGTCTGGGAAGTAATCCTGTCAAGGCAGGGTAATGCTTTTTGGCAGGGTTGAAACTCATAAGCGGCTGGCCAAAATGGAAGTTGGCCAACCCTACCCACCAGTGCAAAGAAATGCTTGCTGCAAAACACTAGTCCATAGTATGCTCCTGGTAGAAGATCAATTTAGAAGACCTGTGAGTAAACTGTATGAATACCAGCACATATCCCAGCCAGCTGTCTGCCACAAGTTAATTTAACAACTTGTTTACAGCTAGGGGAGAAAGTCTCTCTCTCTCTCAAACACAGGCATGCCAACTTGGCCAAGGTTTAATGAAAATCCTACAGGGTCAAACAGAGTTCTCAGGGCTGGTCATAAATACTTGTCTTTCCACCCCCATATGCAGGTGCCATTTGGATGCGGCCTGTGGTATGCAGGGGGAAGACCAGTGCTGCATATCAGGCTGGCTATTAGGCATCTGTCTGACTAACAAATCGTGGCTCAGATAACTGGAATAGTTTTCACCCTATTAAAACTATCCACTGTTATGAAGCCTCGTGCCTTGTTTTCTGCCATACAGCCTTGCTTCGAGAACCACCGCTTGATACGGAAGAACTGGTAGGTTTGCAGTAAGATAAACTGTAAGTAGCCTATAAATAAAAGAAGCTAGCAAACAAACAAACAAATAATAACCATCCTATTCCCTGGTGGTAGGGGTATCAAACTGCTCACTCACCCCACTATTTTGCTGAAAGGACTGTAGAAAGCATGCATGGGAAGCCAAGTATGTGTCTGAGGTTTAAAAGCAGAACAGAGCTAATAGACTGATTGTTAAGTGAGGAATTCTAAGAGATAATGGTTACTCTTTTTTTGGGGGGGGTAGGTGTTCCCATCACTACTACAACTCCTGTGGCCATTCTGGGACTTGCAATCCAAACACATTAGTTTTCCAAACTCTGTAAACGTAAATATACACAGCATTTAGGAAGAGGCACTGTATAAAATGCTTAGAATGACAGATCAGCGTTGAGTGTCCCCTTAAGCAAAATCGGTCAGTTTCACTTTAGAACTCTTGCTGCAATTGCGATGATTCCATGTCGTCAAGTCAATTCTGGTGGCCCTTTTTCGGGGTTTTCCAGGAACGGAGTGCACGGGAGTGGTTTCCTGTTCCCTCCCTCCCAGTGCTATCCTGTGCACATTAATTCCTCAGTAAGTTCCCTTAATTCATCATCCTCTTAGAACTGCAGAGCTGGAAGGGATTCTATGGACCACTGAATCCATCGGAACAGTGGGGAATCAACGCAAGACTGGGCAGCTGGCCCAAGGCTCCGGTCCGGCTCCACGCTTAGTACACTCATTGGGGGAATCAAACTCCTTAACCTCTGGCACAGACCTAACTCCTTAACCAGTGACACCACAGCGGATGGAAGACGCCCGCTGGTTCTCCTTGCGGAGAGAACATATCCTTCCATCAAAGACACTTTCAGCTTTGCCAAATGAGAAAGAAAGGTTTTCTGCGACAGAAGTCTTTTCTTTTTCTTCTGGAGGATCAGGGTGGTCCTAGGGCCAGCTTGCACGCTGTGCTGAATTAGATGCACCTTTGAAAGTGAAAATGAGGATGCCCTAGGATTAGATCAGTGGGACTGTATTTTGGGGGGAAGGAGCCTTCCTGTATGTAGAGTAGGGCCCTCGTATCCGCAGGGAATCAGTTCCAAGACCACCCCCTGCAGATGCTGGAAAACATGGAGCACTACTTTAATAGTGAATGCAACACAAAGTATGGACTCTGGCTCTTTCTAGTGGCCAGTTTGGGTAACTTCAAGGCTAAATAGCTATATATTTGGGGGGGGATTTTTCTTTTAATATTTTCAGACACAGATAAGTGAATCAGCAGATAATGAAACCACGGATAAGGAGGTCCTACCATACATGATTTGTTGTATGATACCATCCTGAACTAACGAAAGCCACTGTGGTGCCCTGGTTAAGGACATGGGACACCTAGGTTCATGTCCTTGTGGAGCCACAAAATCCACTGGCTAACGGCACATGCACAGTGACCTACCTCGCAAGGTTGCTGTGAGGGTAAGATGGAAAGGAAGAGGCTCCTTGAGCTAGTTGGAGCAAAGTGTGGTACAAATGTAAACATCACAAATGTATCATGTTGTGTTCCAGTGGAATATCTTGATCAGTCTTTGTGGAATGATCTAAGCCAGAGCGGTCAACCCTACCTGATATGGAAAAAAATACATACCTCATCCTGCAGAAAAAAATACTATGTTCTACATCACTTCAGGGTGTTTGTATCCATCACCTCAGTAATCCTTATAGTCCTATAAGGTAGACCACTATCACCCACATACTGTAAGGGGCAAAAGCACTGGGAAGCTAAGATAGGGACGTACCTGGCTCAAAAGGGTGGCTCAGGTTAAATCTGATGTGGAAACATCCTGATGAACTTTTCTTGGGCACACAAGTTCTCAGAAAGGTAGAATCATGATGAGTTGTCAGGACAGAGATCAACTTTTTGAATGACAATCCCTAGAATTCCTCTATCAGCACAGCCCGAATAGCGAGGGGGTGTAGTGAATGGTAATTAAAATAATAATAATGTTACCCACTTCTGGATCCGATTGCTTAAGACCTAAGATTATATGGCCAAAAATCTGGAGCTTTTTCACACCTGTGCTGTACAGCCCTGCCCTAAACGATAACTTCAAGCAACCCTTTCCTTAGATGCCCAGCTATGCCTTGAAGTCTGAATTCTGCATCAAGGTTTAGAAAGCAAAACATAAAAAAGATAAGAGGAGGCTCTCCCCCTGCCAAAAGGCCAGCTTAGCAGCACACTGTGGCTTTAAGAGCTTCAAGCTATTTTAGGGATGAGGATGCAGAGGGCTAACACTTGATATCTTAAGAGACACGGTCCCTGTGTTCACACTCACATGGAACTCCGTCGTGTTAAGAATGTGACGGCCGTCGGGGCTCCAGCAAGAAGCCACCAGCCCTGCCGAACCCTCGTCAATCTTGCAGTGCCATTCGGGTTGCTCCAAGGACCAGACCTAAGGGAAAGGAGGAAGGGGCGGTCAAGTCAGGCCTCACCCAGAAGGGCATTGGAAGCCCTACGAGATACAACCATGAAAGACTGGCGCTGGATTCCGCTCCAGAAGTAAGTCCTTTTTTAAAATTCCCTTTGCAAGCATCTGTACTACAAAGGCACTTTAACACAGATTTCAAAGAAGCAGCTAGCTAGGCTACTCTGTTTTAACAAGAACTCTGTGGCATCTTTAAAAGGCTACTATTATGATAGGTTTTTCTAGGCCTGTGCCAAAAATGGCTGTTGCCCGCATAGGGTCAAATTCATACTGGAATATGTTTTGCCTTCGATCAATTCTGACTTATGTGACACTTTTCAGGATTATCCAGGTAGAGAACTCTGAGAAGGAGTTTACTGTTATCGTTTTCCGGGGGCACCCTGGGACTGTACAGCTTGCCCAAGGCTACACAGGCTGGTTGTTCTCACAGGAGGCACAGGGCGGAATTTGAACTCCCAACCTCTGGCTCCACAGCGAGGGAGCTAAAGCATTGAGCTATTCAGCCAGCCAAAATATGTCCCATGACTATTATTAACTACCTGGTCACTCTGAAGTAAAAAAAAATATAGACATGTGTGTATTACTAATTCATTTATATGAGACTGTTCATTTGTAGGCTTGTTCAATACGCATCACCTTTGGGTGACTAGGAAGGAAAACTTTGCCACTGGCTGTTTTTCCAGGGCCATATTTTAATAAGTTAGTGTGCCTTGTATTCATCATTGCTTCAGCTTAAGGTTTCCGCATGTCTGCCCCATGAGAGTCACTGCAAGCTAAGATTCCCAATTTGTAAATGGGGAATAGGAGCTAAGATCCAGTTATTTTACCTAGCTCATCAAGTAAGTCTGTAAAATGTCATGATCAACAAAGAAGCCTTACTGGTGGTACCGAATAACAACTTTTGACAACTACAGTTTAACTGGGTAGCATCACCTTGTATGTTGCACCGAATAGCAACTTAACAACTACACTTTAACTGGGTAGCATCACCTTGTATGTTGTGTTACTGTTATTCGCCATATTGAAATTGGAATATTTATAAACCAAACTGTACAAATATTTATAAATAAACAAATCAGCGACATTGCAAAGCTAGTTTCCCCCACTGAGTCTCTTTCCATAGGATGTCATGAGCTCCATTTCATTCTCAGGTACCAAAACCAACTCAAAAATGGTCTCAGATTTTTTTTCTCTTTTCTTGTCATTGTCTTTCTTGTTGTGGTAAAATATGGGTGTTGAAAACTAACCCACACATTTCATTTTTCAAAAGTGTAATGCTTCAGTTACTGAATTAAACATCTGTTACTTGTAACATCCCAGCCAGAATCCTATTGTCTTATCCAGTTATGCAAGGACTATCATACTAGCGGCAGTAAATATTTTGCCAGCTGTCTATCGTGTGTCATGACATCCCCTGGCACATGAAACAAGACTGACAGCAGAGTGCCCCCCCCCAAAAAAACCAAAAAAAACCCCACTTGTGTGACTGGGTTTTTCACAAAAGGATCCTGGCTCATTGATTTAGCTGCTGACAAGATCCAGGAGATCCTACTCACTTGGACGAGTCCACGTCTGTACATTGCACATAATATAAAGAGAGAATCAGAAGACCATTCTATGTGCTGGATTTGGTCGAGACAGGTGAAAAGTTGCAGGATTTGGAGCGTATTCACGTCCCGAACCACCAAACGGTACTGCACACCTGATGCCTGGATGGAGAGCAAAAAAAATAAAATTTAAAAAAGGAGCTTAGCTAATAAGCTTTCAACTTGGGAGCACAATGCATGATGTTCCTACAACCTGAGAACTAAAAAAGGCCCTAGCACTGGCATGGTGGAGCAACCTCTACCTGAAAGGAGACTCCAGATGAGTTAATTGTATTTTAGAACCCCCAACAATTAACAAGAAAGGACTCTCCACCTGCCAGCCCATCAACTGTGTTTACAAACTGTACAAATTCATTACAGACAACAACGAAACACCAAAGGAAGTTAATGCACGGTCCCAGAAGTCGTCGGCCATCAAAGGAAACGTCACCCTTTATATTTTCTTCACCATTCTCTACAGTATTACAACAGAACCAAGTTTGTTTTTAAAACAATGCATCCTGTTCTATCATGGATTACTCCCCCTGTCTTAACGCTTTAATTTTTTAATGCTTTCCGTAATTGTAGCTTTGTTTTTATAAACAAGGTTTTGTAAAATCAAGCACCACATCTGCCAGCTACAGCAGGGCCTAAATATACATCTCTTCCCCCCCCCCAAAAAAAAATTCTACAAGATTTCCATTGATCCCATGAGTGGCACTTGCACAATGAGATCTCCCAAATCCAGCACCTCATTTGGGATTTAACACTTAAGAAAGTGTTGTTTGGATCACAACTCCCAGAATCCTTACAAAGCAAATGGCTGGACAGCCCAGCGCTCTAGCCTTCGAAAGAGGATGTAAACATGCATTTGTAAATGCTGCTCTGCTGTAAATCAAAGGGGTGGTTTTTCATTCAAAAGTAGTCCCTTCTGAACTCTTGTATGCTATCAAATTGAGAAGAATTTAGTTTTCATGGTTTTGAACACTGGGTTGGATTCAAGCTGCTCCATAAAAAGTCGAAGAATCCACCTCGTTTTCATTCTCTGCAACTCAGTGCACGCCCTCTGCTCCCCACTCTCTTTACAGGCATCCATCAGCACCCCAATAAAACCCTTTAGAACCAAGAATCCCAGCCTCCACACCAGAACTGAAGCTCACCAGGCATTTTCCATCCGGAGAGAACTTGAACAACTGATTGGAGACTTTAAATGCCTCGGAAAAATTCATGCTGCCCAAATTCTTGGAGGAAAAGAGGACACGGGTAGTTTCCTGCACTGTTGTGGAAGTTTAAAAACCCGGAGGTTTTAAATAATGTTGCTTCAAGCTGGTAGCAAGACTCACAGTAAAGATCCTGTCCTTGAAACCGGGTGGGGAAAACAGCTAACAGGCAGTGAGGAAAAGGCCCCCAACTAATAAAATCTCTCTGTGTTTCTGTTGTTGGAGGACAGACACAACACCCACTCCAACTGCTGTGCTATTCCTGATTTTAAACAAGGGAAGTATATCTCACCCTATGGAATGCTGTTACTCCAAAATCTCACTTGTACTGAGAAAGAGGCAAAATTCTCCCTCGTCCCCCCCCCCAAAAAAAAGATGTTGCAGGAGAATGAAAGAAAGAAAAATGGCAAGGAAAAGCAATTTGTTCCAAGAAGAAGAGAGAGCTGGGAGAAAGAGAAATAATTGCTGCAGCTGGCTCTAGAAAATATGTAATTATTCCTAATTTAAAAGGATGCCCTCCCCCCCAAAGGAGTAAATGCTGGCCTTCGAGGCAGGCTTGCCCCCTCCAAAGGGGAAGAAATTGGTGTCCTTTTCCTCCACCTTGTAAAATATATAATTAGCCCTAATTATGGAACAGGGGAGGTGGTCCTCCCTTGAAGAAAAAGGTGTCTGTCAATGGGGAGGGGGTGGTTTTCTCCCTGGAGGAAGCCAAGAAGGCAGGCAGGATCACACCCTTTTTCCAAGGTAGAGCAAAATGGGGAGGAAGAGGTGAATTTCCAGAAGGGGGGGAGGGCAGGGAAGAAATGGTAATTATCCTTGATTAGAATAGGGCGGAAAATGCAACCCTAAAGATGAGATGGCCTCTAAGTAAAGGGGGGGGGGATTTCAGCAAAGCAGAAAATAAGGTAGGCTGGCAAGGGGGATTTCCCCCCACCCCCAAGAAAATATAGATATTTTAAAAAAGAAGGAAACTGATGCCACCCAAAAAGAGGTGGTTCTTCAAGGCTTGGCCAGGAAGGAGCAGAAAGATGATTTATTTATTTTTTCCCCCTCCTGAATTGGGGATGGGTGGGTGGGTTTGTCTCGAAGTCACAACAAAGAAGGGAGGGACAGGGAAGCATGACCATAAATATATATATATAAAACATATAATTCTGCCAATTATCGAATTTTGCCAATTATCATCAAGCTCCCCAATTTTTAAAAGGGGGGCTTAGAAGAGGGGGAAAATCAAAATTATCTTCCCAATGAGAAGAGGGGGGAGAAAGAGAGTTGGGTCGACCCCCCACCTCCAAAATGACTTAAAAATGAGTGAGGGGGCAAAAAAAGGAGGAGGGGGGAGGAAAAGGGGACCCCAATTGTGAGGGAGGGGGTAAAGGGGGTGCCCCCTTTCTGCCCTAAGGGGGGGCTCTGACAACCCTCCCCACAAAAAGGAGGGGGGGGAAAGCCCAACCAGGCCTCGCCTGAGGTAAGGGTCGGGAGGGGCGTGGCCTAAAGCTCGGCGGGAGGGGGGGAGAACTACAGGCGAAGCCGCCCCGCGCCCGCTTTAAAGCCGCCCGCCAATCAACGGCCTCCTCCCTCGCCGGAAGCGCCGGGCCAAGCCGGGCCGGAAGGGGCGGGGAGAAAGAGGGGAGAGGAGGGGAGCCGGAGTAAGGGAAGGGAGAGGGCCGGCGGGCGAGGGCATTCTGGGAAATGTAGTCCCGCAAGGGCGGAGAAAGCGGGCGGCGCGGGAGGAAGCCCGCGAAAGAGTCGGAAGGCGGCGCCAATCGCGGGAATTCAGAGGCTAGGGGTGTTCCTTTTTTTGCGGGGGGGAATACTGACCCGGGAAAAGGAAAGCAACGTTACACACTTACACACAGACACACACACACACATATGATGTAATATACAGTATTCTGCAATGGCCCGAAATTTTGCAAAAGGAATGGTCCCAAATTGTGCAACTCTGTATACAGACTTGTTGCTGAGTCGTTAAGTCGTGTGTGTGAGACACACACACACACATATGATGTAATATACAGTATTCTGCAATGGCCCGAAATTCTGCAAAAGGAATGGTCCCAAATTCTGCAATTTTGTATACAGAATTGCAGGATAGTATATATATTGCAAGCAATGTCACTCACAAATGTCAGATAGGGAGGAAAACAGAGATTTTATTGCAGTTTTTGGAATTCCAGGACTTGATGCTTGCACAATTTTGTATACAGAATTGCAGAATAGTATATATATTGGAAGCAATGTCACTCAGAAATGTCACATAGGGAGGAAAACAGATTTTATTGCAATTTTTTGGAATTCCAGGACTTGATGCTTGCAAAAAATCTGGGGACTTTAGAGCTTTTTAAAAAATCCCCTCAACAACGACAACAACTTACAAGTCCCCAGATTTCTTGCTAACATCAAGTCCTGGATTTCTAAAAAACTGCAATAAAATCTTTGTTTTTCGTCCCTGAGCTGTGATCTATGTGACATTTGTGAGTGACATTGCCTGCAATGAACTCAAGATGGCGTAAATGGCTCTTCTTTCCAATGGCATTCTCCCCCCCCCCGCAAAAAAAAATTAGGGAGAAGACAAGGAGCTTGGAAAAGGTTGCTTTTAGACGACAACACCCAATATTACAGTTTTAGGGTGCAGTTTTGGGTCAATGAACCAAGCCAGTTCTGTAGGGCACAGTTTAATATTCCTTGTCAGGGGCAGAATGTGCAAAAAATTCCCAGCATGTTCGGTGTTGTAAATCTCCAGGAAAAGGCTTCTGTCGGAAACATTAACAATCCTCTGCCTGGCAGGGTGGATCACCTGGTGCCCTTGCCCATCACTGCTTCTACATTGGCGCGGACTACAACATCCATCATCCTGGCTCACACCACACTCGCGGATTGGTGATGCTGGGAGTGGAGGAAGAGAGGAGCTGTAAGATCAGCTCATTGGCCAAGCACAGAGGGCTGCAAAAGAAGCCAGGAAAAGTTACTTTGGGGGACTACAGAACCCAGAGTGCACCAACAGCGAGAGTCTGGTACCTCTATTGCAAGAAGAAAGGAAGGAAGGAAGGGTCCCAAAGACCAATTTCAGAGCACAGGAAAATGTAGTTGCTGGCTGTGGATTTTGGGACTTGTAGTCCAAAATGCAATTTTTGCCCCCAGTTTCAAGCTCATCACCGCTTTCCCCCCCCTCCCCGGCTCTGCCATAGAAACGATGCCAGAAAACTCCCAGGAAGTTGCGTGTCACTCCTGAGCCTTGGGACTTTAACCCTTTAACTCCCTTCCAGGTGAATCGAAGACGCGCATCGGGAACATTTCCTGAAGCCAACCATTTCCCATCCGCATTGAGCAGATCAGGACTTTTCTCTCCTCTTTTTTCCCCCCATTGAGAGACAGCCCAGCTTATATTTTCTAGGACTCCAAAGGCGTGGCACTGAAACATATACGAGCCTAGAGGGACAACCTTTTTAAGAGGAAGAAATAAGCAGTTGTTTTAAGAGTCTTTAGATTCTTCGTTTTCATTTCTTCCCTTCCTTTCTTTTTTTTTCCTGCACGAAAGGTCTGGAGAAAGCGAACTTCCTTTTCCGCTGGGGGTTCATTGGGGGGGAGGACCTTTAAAATAAATATACAAGCTTTTGCGTGATGTCTGTGTCCCTGGAGGTCAAATGTATAGCTTGAGGACATTTAAGAAGGAATTCCATGTGTGGTGGTCTGCTCAGGTCTTGCAAACCCAAGCCTGTGGCTTCCTTTAGCAAATCAGTCCATCTCATATTGGATCTTCCTCCTTTCCTGCTGCTTTCAACTTTTTCTAGCCTTACTGTCTATTCCAGAGAATCCTGCCTTCTCATGAGGTGCCCAAAATAGGGATCCGGCCTCCAGGCGGCTTACCGTCCTCACACCAATAAAATGCGCACATGCGAAAGAAACAAATATATAAATGCAGCTCTCGGTGTGCTCACCAACTGATCTTTCAGGAACCTGATAATTTTCTTCCTCCTCCTCATAAGAACAGCATTACTATCATCTTAATGATCCCACAGTTCAAGGCGGAGCAGTCAGCATTTTGCATATTCGCTTGCCTTAATTCAATAAAATCAAATGCTGAACGGTGTTTAAGAACAGAGGGGCAGAGTTTTGGCCTCATAAAACCTAAGGCGATGGGAGGAAGGTGGGTGAAGAAACCAAGCAGGGCCGCTTCCTCGGAGGAGCGCCCACTGCCCCGTTTACACCCGGAGAGCCTGGGGGCAGAATTCGAACTCAGCGCTCGCTGGTTCGACTTGGGCGATTCTGGTGGGGCTCCCTAGGACCCGCGGGGGGTCGATTCGGATTCAGGAGAAGGGCACTTCCCCATGGCATCGTCTCGCAACTTCGATCCGGATTTATTCGCGGGCTGGGGACGGCGGCGAGAGAGCAAGCAGTCCCGTTTTAAGTGCGAGGTCTGTTTTCAGGCTGATCCGAATTACTGGTCCCTTGCCTTCATTTCGTTCTGATCCTGGTTTTGTTTCTTTTCCATGTACAATAACGGCGCTACGGCGTTATAAGAAGAGAATTCATATAATAAAGTCATTCTAACATTGGAATATTAGAATTCTAATATCAGAATATTAAAACTCCGATATTAGAATTCGAATCCTGAAATACTGCATTAGAATATTAGAATTCGAATATTAGAATATTAGCATTCGAATATTGGAATATTAGAATTCGAATACTAGAATATTAGAATTCGAATATTAGAATTTTAAGAATTCTAGTATGAGAATATTGAAAATCGAATACTGGAATATTTGAATATTAGAACGGTGAACATATTAGAATTCTAATATTGGAATAATATCCTCATATATTATTACTTCTGAGTTTTCAAGCTCCCTCTGCGCAGCCGTGAAACTCTATTCTATTCAATTCTATTTTTTCAGGATGAGATCCTTCCCTCTGTTCTGCTGGGTGTTTAATCTGTTACACCAATTATTGCTTGTGGTAACAGCCGATCCCTATTCAGTCAGACAACCACCCCCGTTTCTCCCCCCCCCAACTAATAAAGAGAGTTCGCGTAAACAACAAACGAACCACCCGCCAGGCACCCAAGGAAAAAAAAATTAGGAAAAAAATAAAAAAATTAAAACACCCGCAAAGAAGGAGAACATACAGGATTCTGCACGAGGCAACCAATCTCTGAAGGGGTGTCTTGCGTTCTCTTAAGGTATATTTCACCTTTTCTTACATAGCTTTTGCGATTAATATTTTTTTGGGGGGGCGGGCGGCGTTGTTCCCGGTGATCAGAAAGCGTGGGGACGGCATTGAACACTGGCAATAGCAAACCATAATAACATAAATAGCAACAGTAATAATGCCTAGAATCTCGTAGGTCTTTTTTTTGAGGGGGGTGACCTAATAATATTCAAGGAACTAAAGCCAGCCACCATTTGCTGCGCTGCTTATAAAAGAAATAATAATAATAAAGATAGATTTTTTCCCCTATGAGTCTCCCTGGCTTCATTCTCAACAGCAATTGAATGGCAATCAAAACGTCCCCCTGGAGAATTAATAGATGCTGTTGTTTTTAAATGGGTGTGTTTGTGAATTTTGGGAAATGCATGGTAAAAACTTCACAATAATTTGGATTTTTAAAAATGAAATCCTGTCTTCTCTTTTTTTAAAGGCGGTGTAAGAAAGACGAGAAAACTGGAAGGAGGGAATAGGGTGTTTTAAAAATTATAATTATTTATAATTTTTAGTGATGTATGCAAAGAAGTAGAAGCACTGCAAGGAGTTGATTTGAAATCAGCTCGTCCAGAATGATCGGAAGTTGTGAGTTAAATATAATTTCCCTCTTAGTTAAGAGTCGCCCCATTGAATGAATGGAGCATCTTCGTCCCCCCATTGCACTACCGTACTTCCCAGGGACTTCAAAAGGTCTCCCCCAGTTGGGAATGTTACGGGTTTTAGTCGATCTGGAGATGTTATGTTTTTTTTTTAAGACTACAAATCCCAAAATGTGCAGTTTTGGGGATTGTGAGTCCAAAACCCCACCGTCACCTTACTAACATTTCTGAGCGCCGGTGTGCGTGTGAATGGAGAGACGTAGGACGGAAGGATGCCCGAGATATGAGATCTACAGCAAAATCCCCCTGGAGATCCTAAGATTAAAAAAATAAATAAATAAAGCAAAACACGAGGAAACGTGGATGTGGGCAGAAACGCGTGGAAAGGTTAGAAGAGAAAATAGCGGATTAGAGGCATCGATGACACTAAAGATTTAGAGAGGCGGACGTGTTTCCCCCGCCAATCGAACGCAGAGCGCGCCTGTGTTTTTCCCCACCGGCACGTGGGAATAGGGAAGACACGTGTCTCTCTGAGCAGCCGCTCTCTAGAGAAACGACGAGGACCCAGATCTGCATGTCAGCCAGAGAACGGTGGAGAAGTTATTGGGGCAAAATGCTGTAACGGGGAACCACTACCAGCAAGCTACGTCACAAGGAAAACCTGCCAAAAGATTATTCCACGAAAGTGCCGGCGTGTATGGCATTGGTATTTATATATTTCATGACAAGATTTCTAACCCGCCTTGTATCAACAGATCT